AAGACTTTGCTGGCTGCTCATAGAGATCATAAATAAGCCTTTAAAATGCTTTATTTGTAATACTGGACCACTTTTGGCTTTGGCCTGATCTAAATAGGTCACTCTGAGGTCACTGGAGGCCATAAATCAGAGGGGACTGGTGGCTAAGACAGCCTGCATGGCTTTAGTGCAATGTGCTATTTTAGTTTGTGCCCCTGAAATGACACCATCTCTTTGGCACCAGCCAAAGAAAGCTTCCTAGACATCTCTGGGAAGGGAATGTTTTGCAGTATTCCAAGGCCTAGGTCACACAGGCATGAATTACTGTGAGGGGGTCTGCGTCTGCTCCAGACCTTGAAACAAACAAAGTAGAAAAATGACTTCCAACCCAAGCATTTATCTAGGAATCCAGGAGTGAAAATTGATCCAGGAAATCTTGGCAAATTGCAAAAGCAAAGAGTGACCAACTCTTTTTCAATCCAGGAATCTAGGGCAGCCTCTTCCTACCCCTTCCAATCCCGTTTCTTGGGTCCACTTGAGAACCCCAGGCATGGATGTTTTTGAGCAAGGTCCAACACAGCTAAATCATCATTGTTATATTTATATGATACAAAATGTAGCATAACGAAACAAAAAGCCCCAACTCTTTCTAGCCAAGGCATATATGCTTTCATGTTCTATTCAATACTTTTTCCATAGAGACTATGACTTAAGCTGAACTTACAGGATTTATTGGTTTTGTACATAATATAAATCTCTCCTTCCTTTCTGTTTATTTTGGAAAGGGCAAATGTAATTCCATAAACAACATCAAAATATGCCTGTTTACAACAGACTGCCTAATTGTTTACCTATTAAAGAAATATTTACCTTGGCTTCAGAAGCAGTCTACTCAGAATGACATAAAATGGGCATCTATTCTACTTAAAATTCTTTTTGTTGATACATCTTTTGCAGTTCTCTTGCTTTCTCTCAGCTGAAGTTCCCTTCGAAAGGGAAAAAGTGCTCCCTTACTTGGCTTGGGGGAAGGAGAGAGGTTTGGTTCAAAAGTGAGTGGTATTTTTTTCCAAGCATCTGTTGATCTCTGGAAGTGCAACAGGCAGCTAATGGTTGAGTGGACTTCCTTTTGCCAGTTCATCTCCATGTGGGAGAGTTCTCCTCCTCTGGGAAGGTTGAAACAACTTTCCTAGACACAGATACCGAGGCTAGGGGAAGAATTCTCATGCTATGCTGCACTGCACCAGCTCCAGGGAATGTGTGAAGATTTGGCAAGAGCTTTGCAGTTTCCTGTGGTCTTTCTAGAAGAGAGCTTTTAAAAAGGATGTAAATGTCCAGGGTATATACAAGCCTGAGAAATACTTTGCACATGTAACTGTGAACTAGTGGTGTTTTGTTATTCTAATCACTGCACCTGACAACAGATTACTGCCAGTGCTGAAAATGGAGGGGGTTTGGGCTTGTGGTTCCAAGGAGAGCAAGCAATTTTAATTTGCAGCTTTAATTTGTGCCAAGGAGTAATTCTGGCTGCAAAACTATTGACTGACCACCACGTGGGGAACGGTTTCCTCCCACACATGAATTCTGTTCTGCTCTTGAAAGCTGGCCAAGGGCCTCCACTGTGCATGACACTTTCTTTTTCTATTATTATTATTATTATCATCATCATAATTGTTATAGTTATCATTACTATTATTATCCATCCAGCTATTTCTACTAACATACACCAGACTGGCTGTCAAGAAGGCACAGTGACAAAACAGATGAAAGCCCTTTAATTAGATAAGTTTGAAACAACAATGTGAAAGGAGCCTAATTCCAATTACTGGTGTTCCAATACCTTGGTAATCAAATCAATCATTCCCCTAGGAAAGAATAAAGTCTACCTGATAGTAACCATTTTCTAAATGGCATGATGATGTTGGTGTTGTTTAGAAAGCAAACCTGAGGCACTGTGTGTGTGTGTGTGTGAGAGAGAGACAGAGAGAGAGAGAGAGAGAGAGAGAGAGAGAGAGAGAGACAGAGGAAGGAAGGAAGGTGGTAGGATGGGGAATAAATATTGGGGTTTCTGGTGGGTAGGTGGATGACTGCTTCTCTCTCTCACTAACCACATGCAACTCTCCTCTAGAACGAGAGCAAAGTCACACACCAGTGCTTCTTAATTCCATGAACCTTAACATTTTCTTTAATCACAGAAAACAATAGCTGAAGCAAACAGGATCTCAGAAAGCCAGTTAAAAAAATAGATATTGCGAGTAATGACTTTTTTTCTTCCCAAATCTTTATGTGGTCCAAAAATCTAAATGGATTTATATATACTTTTAACCAAATGGACCTAAATTCTAAATTTGTGTTCCTTGAGGGGGAAAGGGTCCTTTAAAAATGTGTCTATTGCAAGGAAATATGGTTGCCTTAGTAACAAGCTCCTGGGCATTTTCTTTTCTTTATGTTAGAGGAAACTCATTGTACCAAAAGCTTTCTGCTTTCTTGCATGTTAAGTGAGCTGAAGGCATGGATGAAACCAAGGGCAAGCATGAATTCTGAAAGGTAGATGTATGCCACTGTGCAGAAAAGATTCAGAAATAGAATGCTGGAGTTTTTAAAATGAGATCTTAGAGAATGTGTAATTTGTCCTCTTATTTTAGGTGAAGAAGGAGCTTCAAAGAGGTTAAACGACTTGCACCAGATTCTACATCTGTATAACAGGAGGCGCCGAGAGCCTAACAACTCGTCCAGCGCTGTTTCCACCACATTGTACCTCTGAAACGTTATTAACTCAAGTTCTATAAATAAGGCCTATTTTGAATATACTGAGTCAATCAGATACGTGAAAAAACTTTGCTGAATCCCCTTTAAATGTCACTTTCTAACTTATTCTAGAAACTCGTTTTTGTGAATACTTAGTAGGCATTAATATTTATTGAGTGCTTACCATGTTTTAGGCACTATTTTAAGCACTTCCCCTGTTTAAATATTAAACTATATTTAATCTGCACATGGCCCTATGAGGTTTGTACTCCATTTTATAAGTGAGTAAACTGAGGCACAGAGAGATTAGGTAACTTGCTCAAAGTCACAGGCTGAATTAAGTGGCAAAGCCCAGCCAGGGTAACTCCAGACCTGAAGCGCTTGATGATAAGCACCACCAACCCCCCCCCCCCCCACAGACCTTGCTTAAAATGAGCACAGGCTGGACAAGCTTTCACGTAAATTTCACGGCAAACATGAGCCATGACTCTGAAAACCAAATAAAAATACACCAGATGTTGGATTTATAACCTCTCTCTAATCTTTGGAGATAAAGTTAAATGAGACAATCAATCAGTCTGGAAAGTATAAAGCATATCACATGTGAAGTGTAATGCAAATATTACGAATCTATTATGAAGATAATCTGTACAACCCAATAGGTATTACTGTCCATTTCACCACAGAGGAAACGGAGGTTTAGTTTAGCAAGTTAAATAACTTGCTTAAGTCGCATGGGTGGTACGAGGCAAAATGAGTATTTGAATCTGAATCTTGTCTGACTCCCAATTTGAGTCTTCACCATGCCTGTTGAAGTTGGAATAATCATCTTAATCCTGAATGCTCAAGAGAGAGATCCCATAGCCTCATTAAACCCTGCTTTGTGGAGGTCTGTGTCTCCTTCAGGGTTGGGCCACACGTAATCCATGGTGCAGTCATCAGTCTAGAGATGGCGCTCTTGAGCACAGTAGCCAGATGTAAAAGAGAAAAATCCCTTTGGGGAAAGGAGTGTGGCCTGGACATTTTGGAGGCTGGATGAATAATTACCAAATTATTCAATCTAGGCTTATTTTCCTAGTTGTGAACATTTTTTAAGTCTTGGAGGGAGTAAATATCTAAGTAGGTATAAACAGAGAAAACATCAATCAGAAGTAAAAGCTGAAGAACGGAGCCTAAGGCCAAACTTGGAGCAAGTGGCTCCTAATACCTGTCATCAAAGAAAAGCAACAGATCGAGAATTTGGAAAGCAGCAATGACGCTTGAGGAGATAGTCTTAAAACTGATTTAAGTTGTGATTAAAACCTAAATTATGATTTTCAATATTTCTGAGACTAGATCAAAATAATGGAAAATCATCACAATGTTAATAGTGGTACCTTCTAGATAATTAGATTACACGGGAGTCTTCTTATGCTATACTCTTCAATGAACTGGTATTACTTGGGTAATCACAAAAAAACTTACTAATATTCCTTTAAAAAATTACTTGATAAAGTTTCAAAAAAATGACTAGATACTGTTTCTTACGGAAAACAATCGAATTTATGAGGTCCCTGAGTCTGGATGACCATTTATTTAGACAGTTCCAAATTCTAGAAAATCTCTTGCCTACAGCCCAATCTCACAGGCAGCATTTCAGCAAGACATCTGTTGGTTAATAGATTAGCCATTTAAAATCGCAACCCTTACAGCCAAATCCTACCCCACAGGTCTACTTGTGGAAAACTGAGCGGTGCCAGTGGGTGTCAGAAGCTAGTACGGCTGCAGCATCCTAACCTGAAGAAAGGAAAAGGAAAAGGGCATGGAGAATTGGAGTGCCAAAGAAGTCTGAGGACGAGTGAGAGAGATCCAAAGGGAGAGAGACAAAACAAGGAGAAGTGGGTAGTGCAGATCAAGACAATATGGTACCACAGAGAACCATCCCTGGTCCATTCGTCCACCTGCTACCCTAGCAGCCTTGCTGTGTGTAAAGCACTGTTGACAGGCTTCCCTTAAGGTGTTAGACAAGAGAACACAGAAGAGAGACGAGGGGCAAGATTCAGTACTATTTTCTAACCTAAACTCAGCCTTTATCTAGTCACCGCTTAAAAGAAAAATATTTGGAGGAACCATTTAACGCCCTCGTCCTCTGCTTTGCTTTGATATCCGTAACCACCATCCCACCCAGAACGCTTTCAAAGTACTCAAGTCCTTGCCCAAGCCGGGCCAAAGTTTCCAGTAGTGTCAAAGCCAAGCTAAGCAGACCAGAGCGGCTCCTGCCAGAAAGACGTGTTTACCTTCACCAAAAATATCATCCTCTTCATCCACCGGGAGTTCCTCTGCATCCAGATACTGCATCTTGGAGAGCGTGATCAGCGTGCTGCAGCCGGAGGCGCACAGCCCAGGCAGTCCCAGCAGCCACACTGCCTCCTGAGGCGATTTCCTTCCCCGGGTTCTCTGAAACCTCGGGGAGGGCAGCTTCCGCATCTGCCCTTGAGAAAGCACTTCATTCATATGAATAGGCTTCAGAAGCCGTTTGAAGAGTGCATTCCAGGTGAGGTAATTCTCACCGCTGAGAAGCAAGACTTGTTTTGGAAGGGGACTGCAGAGCTGGTTGGATCTGAATACAGATATCCCTTAAAGTCTAGGCGCAATGAATTCTATTTCAAAGCGACAACTTTCATATTTTCTTAAAGAGGAAGGTGGGCATTTAACTTTCTTACTAATTTGAACACTATGGGAAGTGTTGAAAGAAACGGGGTTCACATTTCTCATATCTCAGTTTTGCTTCAATGACAATTTATCTGAGAGAAAAGCAAGCCCCTACGCGAGACGAAAGCAGGCAATTGGAGGGACGGAGTTTTTATTTCACTCAGTAATAGTTGCATTTTTCTTTTTTGCCAACCTCTTGCGTTTGAGGATTAGAAGCTTTACAACACTTAAACCAAATTTAACATACATCTAGGCTCTTCCTGGCCCAATTAAATCGATGGTCAATAAATGGATAATTAGTTTAGGTCAAACAACTTCCATTTCACAATATTTACTCAGTCTGATACTTCAGACTTTATCACTTAAGGAGAAGGGAGAAAATGTAACTTGAAAGGCGGTTCCTCCCAGAGGGAGGAGTAACCATCAAGCTTTTACGTGAGTGCAAGTGGCTGACATCACCAGATCGAACCAGCCAAAGTGTGCCTAATTCTATATGGCTGTTCAAACACAAATCTCTGAGGGATAGCACAACCTCATTTGGGGCTTTCCCAGCGCTCTCTGTTGTGTGACCTCTCAGACGTTCAGAAGCTGAGAAAATGCAAAAGGAGATGATGGTGAGGAGTTGTTGACCCAAGGTATTTACTTCAGGGAACTTTATTTGAGTAGAGTTTCTAAAACATTTATTAGCATATTTTTAATAGACTTTGTTTTTTAGAGCAGTTTTAGGTTCACAGCAAAATTGAGAGCAATGTGCAGAGATTTCCCATGTGCCCCCTGCCCCCGCACCTGTAGAGCCTCCCCCATTATCAACATCCTCACCAGAGTGGTACCTTTGTCACAACTAATGAACCTACATTAACATATCATCATCATCCAGAGTCTATGGTTTACATTAGGGTTCACTCTTGGTGTTGTACATTCTACAGGTTTGGACAAATATATGATGACATGTATTCACCCTAATAGTCTCATACAAAGAAGTTTCACTGCCCTAAAAATCCTCTGTGCTGCGCCTCCCTCCCCACAACCGCTGGCCACCACCGGTCTTTTTGCTGTCTCCATAGTTTTACCTTTTCCAGAATGTCATAGTTGGAATCATACATAACGTAGACTTTTCAGATTGGCTTCTTTCACTGGCTAGTATACATTCAAGGTTCCTCCTGGTCTTTTCATGGCTTGATAGCTCATTTCTTCTTAGCACTGAATAATACTCATTGTCTGGATGTACCATAGTTTATCTATCCAGTCACCTACTGAAGGACATCTTGGTGTTTCCCAAGTTTTGGCAACTATGAATACAGCTGCTATAAACATCCGTGTGCAGGTTTTTGTGTAGACATAAGTTTTCAACTCCTTTAAGTGCATAGCAAAGAGTGGGATTACTTGAGGGCATGGTAAAGAGCATGTTAAGTTTTGTAAGAAACTGCCAAACTGTCTTCCAAAGTGTCTGTACCATTTTGCATTCCCATCAGTAATGACTGAGAGTTGACTATTGCTCCATATCCTTCCCAGCATTTGGTTTCGTCAGTGTTGTGAATTTTGGCCATTCTAGATTGTGTAGGGGGATCTCACTGAAGTACTAAGTGCTTCTGAAGAGACTCCTGGTGCTACTCTCCAAGCTAAGAACCTGTCCCCTCCTCCTTTAACTTCACCCTTGAAATTACAGCAGCTTCTCCCAGGGGAGAGTATAGAAAATGGGGCTGGAAAAGCCCAGCCACAAGAAAGGCCCAGGACAGAGGAAGTCTAGAATCAGTCAGTCACGAAGGGCTACTTGGCACCAGCAGTGGGCTTACCTGTGTGCTGGGTGCTGTGGGGTTCCCATAGACAGATGCAGATGGGGACTGCTGGAACCTCTGGTCACCCTCAGTCAGGGGTGGGACAATCTTTAGGGGAGAGTTTGGAAAGGTGTGTTGTTTGGAGTTGCACAATGACTGGGGGTATTACTGGTATTTAATGTCTTGGTAACCTTCTCGAATGTGTGGGACAGTGGCTCAAGAGGAAGAACTGTCTAGTCCCAGACGCCAATAGTGCCCCTCCCCCCACTGAGAAATACCTTGAGAAGAGGACAACTGGTGCTGATGCTTTTCTCTAGGTCTCCTTTGCCTCCCTCCTTTTGGATCCTCCTACCAGCATCCCCCATCCAATTTCCACTCAAATGACTTTTTTGGTCGAGGGTTGCAGTTAATTATCTAAATTAAATTAATTAAAATGGGCCTGAATTGTAAGATGATGCAGCCGCTATGGAATACAGTATGGAGGTTCCTCCAAAAATTAAAAATAGGACTACCAGGCCGGCCAGTGGCACAGTGGTTAAGTTCACACGTTCTGCTTCGGCTGCCTGGGGTTCGCTGGTTTGGATCCCGGGTGCAGACATGGCACTGCTTGGCAAGCTGTGCTGTGGCAGGCGTCCCACATATAAAGTGGAGGAGGATGGGCACGGATGTTAGCTGAGGGCCAGTCTTCCTCAGCAAAAAGAGGAGGATTGGTGGCAGATGTTAGCTCAGGGCTAATCTTCCTCAAAAAAAAAAAAAAGGACTGCCATGTGATTCAGCAATCCCACTTCTGGGTATATAACCAAAATAATTGAAAGCAGGATCTTGAATTGATACCTGCACTGCCACGTTCATTGAAGCATTATTCACAGTAGTCAAGATGTGAAAGCAGTCTAAATGTCCATTGACAGATGAACGGATAAAGAAACTATGGTCTATATATACAATGGAATATTATTCAGTCTTAAAAAAGAAGGAAATCCTGTCACATGCTACAACATGAATGAACCTTGAGGACACTATGCTAAACGAAATAAGCCAATCACAAAAAGACAAGTATTGTATGATTCCCCTTATATAATGTATCTAAAGCAGTCAAATTCATAGAAACAGAAAGCAGAATGGTGGTTGCCAGAGGCTGGGGGAGGGGAAAATGGGGAGATTGTTCAATGGGTATGGAGTTTCAGTCACGCAAGATGAAAAAGTTCTAGAGCTCTGTTGTACAACAATGTGCCTGTTACTAACAATACTGTAATGTAAACTAAAAAATTGTTAACAGGGTAAATTTATGCTATGCGGTTTTTACCATATACAAAAAAAAAAAACGGCCCCAGTGTAAGAAATATGGATCTGGACTAGAGCTCCATTTGCTGGGATGAAAGGATGAGTATCAATTTTGGTCATGACTACATTTCTCACCCATTGTCCTGTGTCCTTTAACCTTCACAACCCCTATGAGGTGGATGCTATTATCTCATTTTACAGTCGAAGCAATGAGACTCTGAGAGATTACATAACCTTGCTAAGAGCAGATGGCTAGTGAGTGACAGTTTGGACTAACTCCAGCGCTCGTTCCATGACCTGTCATCTACAGAGCTTTATGGAGGGGATGCAGATGATATGGGTCAACACAGCATCCCAGTGGCTCTTGGGAATCTGCCCCACCTCTATCCCCTCTCATGTCAGAACCACGAGCTTACCACATTAACCCTGGGGTCCCCACCGTTCCACTTAAGCAAGTCAGCATAACCTCTCTAGGCCTATTTCTTTATCTTTAAATGGAGAAAATACTATCTTCTTGTTATGGGTTGAATTGTTGAATGCCCAACTCCTATGTTGAAGTCCTAATTCCCAGTATTCAGAATGCAGCATTGTTCGGAAATAGGGTCATTGCAGAAGTAACTGGTTAAGATGAGGTCCTACCTGGGTATGGTGGGTCCCTAATCCAATGTGTCTTGTCCTTATAAAAAGGGGAGTTTGGACACAGACACACACATGGGGAGAATGCCATGTGAAGATAAAGATTGAGATCTATAAGCCACAGAATATCAAAGATTGCCAGCAAACCACTAGAAGCCAGGGGAGAGGCATGGACAGATTCTTCCTCACCACCTCAGAAGGAACCAACCCTGCCGTCACTTTCATCTTGGACTTCTAACCTCCAGAACTGTGAAACAATAAACAGTTATTTAAGCAACTCAGTTTCAGGTTCTTTGTCATGGCAACCATAGCAAACTAATACACTTCCTCATTTGGCTTGTTTTGAGCGTTAAATAGGACAATTCATGTAAAGGAACTGAGACAGCACACGGCACACTGCACATACCCAGTTGTAATTAGCCAACTTAAATCCCTCACAGGGCAGCTTAGGGCCGTTTCTCTGATTGAAGCCTCAGTGGGGATAGAGAGTGATCAGTCACCATGCTCTATAGAAAATCTCAATAACCCTTGGTAAGTTCCTCTCAGTCTCCTCTTCTCCAACGTAGATATGGTAAAAACACAGCTAACAATCTCAAACATCAAATCACAATTGCCACTGAAAATGCCTTGAAAGCGGGGAATATAGAAAACATCGTCCTTGTTTTCTAAAGCATACAATCACCTTACAGAGAAAAGGCGTATATGCATGATACGTTAGTGAAGAAGGAAAATTAATGATCTACAGATGTATGCATCAATAGGGACAAATTTCAAAAACATAATGCTGACTAGAAAAGTCTCACAAAATTATAAATAGTATGATTCTATTTATATAAGTGCCAAAAATGGGCAAAATAGAAAACATATATAAATAACACTAACCCTTACATAGTGCCGGGCATAGTTCCCAGTGATTTGATTCACTTAATTCTCAAAGCAACCCTATGAGATCAGTATTATTATCTCCATTTTAGTTTGAGGCTCAAGAGGTAAAATGACCTGTCCGAGGTCATGCATCCAGTAAGTGGTGGAGCTGAGACTGAAGCCACAGAGTCCACACTCACTCACTCTGTTACAGTGTCTCTCATGTGTGTAAAGCATAAAGGGATGC